TGCTGTCCCTATTTTCTATTCCCCTGCAGGGAGGGAACGATTATGAAATCTATGATGATCCCCGCACTGTAGGACACAGTGTCCAGTCCCCCCAGGACACGGTCCAGCGGTGCCGCGAAATCTTCTTTCCAGAAAGAGCAAACGAGTGCTGACTGCCCGGTCCCTGCAGCCCTGCCCCAGTCCCACCCTCCCCCCACCAGGAAACGCACCTTCATTTGAGGAATCTGCTCAGGGTAGACCAAAAAAACCACTTGACAGAGCTGGTCAGGATGTAACAGTGAGTGTAGGTGGGTGGGTGGTAGGAGGGGGTCTTGGCTGAGCAGCCCCTCAGTGCTCCCTGTGGGTGGCTGGGGGTCATGGCACCAGACCCTCCTCGCCTCCAGAGAAACTTCTCTTGACAGTTCAGCTGTGGTGGGCAGTGATGCAGATGCTTTTGTGGTTAGAAAGCATTTGAAAGGGCCAAAGAGTGAGTGTGTGTCTTGTCCTGCGGCTCCCTCTGCTCTTCTCTCCTTTTCCACTCGGTTTCTCTTAACACTTGTGCATGAGGGAACATGTGGCTCGCCTTCCTCTCCCCCTTGCACCTTGGCCAGAGAGGCTGGGGCTGCTGAGGCTCGAGGCATTCACCAGAGCTCCTCTGAGGTAGGAGGCCAGGAAGGCTGTTTGCTGCAAGCCTGTGGTAGGAAGGAGTAGCTGAGATCCCAGCTTGTTGCACCATTGTGCTTTCTGATGTCACCATGTCCTTCCCCTCAGTGCCACAGTGTGCCAGTCCCTCCCTGCAGATGACCTGGGAACTATAGCTTTGACATGACTGGGCTGCTGCTCTGAGCTTTGCTCGGGTGCATGAAGAAACCAATTCTTCTCTTTTGCTTACAAAAAACACCTAGAGTTTATTCTCTATATTCTCTATTTTCAAGTCAGACCTTGCCTGTCACAGGTGAAGGATCCTGGCACTTCATGCTATGGAACAGTTTCGGGTAGAAGGCTTTCCACTGGTCTTCCTGCTCCTGTGTCCATTGGGCATCACAGAATTGTTAGGGTTGGAAGAGACCTCTGGAAATCATCTAGTCCAACCCTCCTGCCAAGGCAGGGTCACCCTGAGCAGGTGACAGGAATGTGTCCAGGTGGGTTTTGAATGTCTCCAGAAAGGGCAGCTCCCCAGTCTTCCTGGGCACTCCCTGTTCGAGTGCTCTGCCACCCTCAACATAAAGAAGTTCTTCCTCATGTTGAGGTGGAGCTTCATGTGTTTTAGTTTATGGCCATTGCTCATTATTGTGTTGGTGGGCACCACCAAAGAGAATCTTGGCCACCATCCACTTGGCATCGGCCTTTAAAATATTTATATACATTAATGAGATCCTCTCTCAGTCTTCTTTCTCTAGACTAAACAGGCCCAGCTCTCACAGTCTCTCCTCATAAGAGAGATGTGTCCTTATAAAACCTTACCCAGGGCATTTGTAACAGACCAAGTCCCCTTCCCTTCCCAGTGCTCAGCTTTCCAGAGCTCAGCTTTCTCTCAGCTGCCAGGGACATTTTCTGCGGGGGCCAATACCAGCCATACAACCTGGAGCCTCCAACAACCTGGAGGTACCCGCTCAGCAGTGCCCTCCAAGCTTGCTCTTCCCCCCATCTCATCCCACACACTCAGTTTACAAGCTCACCTTTAGGGAGACAGGATGTCCAGTGCAATTGTCATATGTCCTGTTCCTCTCCCTGGATCTTTGTGGGTTGCAAGCCCACATCTCTCCTTCAGCCTTTGACCTTCTCCCTCACATTGTCCTTTTATTCCGAGCATTTGCATTGTGGTGTGTGGCCACAATGGTGACACATGTCCTGACTTGGTGCCCAAAAGGAGCTCAGGGATCCCCGCCAGGGAGATGTCCTGTTTGTAGCTCCCCAGGGTACACAGATCTGGTGTTTGTGGACCTGGAGAATGTTAGAGGTTCCTACAAACTCTCCCTCATTGTTCCCCAGGAGTCTTTCTCACCCCATCCCTGCTGGTATGGCACTGCCCCATCTCTTGGTCCTGTTTTCTCTGCCCTTTTTCTTCTGTTCCTAGTTTCCTCATCATGGCTCTCCATTTTCCACTGGCAGCTGGACTGCAGAGAGAAGTTCCTCAGCTGGCAACCGCCACCTACGCAAGGCACCACCATCCTCCTCAGGCGAGAGACACTGGTGCTTTTAGGCCCAGGGCAGGGCTCCCACACTGCCATGGGCAGAGTCCCTGGTGGCCCTTGGCACTGCAGCCTGGCCTCAGGAGCAGGGATACTGCATGACCAGTGCTGCTGGGGTGCTGTCTCCTCCACCTGACTGCACCTCCTAACTACAACACATCAGATCTCTGATGCAGCGCATTTGCATGAGCACAGCAGTCTGCCCAGCATCCAGAAATCCCCAGCAAATCCACAAATTCCTCTTTCTACCCAGGAAAGATTTCTGTGTGGGAGAAGAGGACCTGTTGGAGAAACTTGTATGCAGGATACCCTTTGCACACGTCACAGGTTTTGGCCCTCCACTGCAACCTCCGTGGTGGAATTGTGTTTTGTGATTCCTTCCTCTCTGTTTCACTGTGGATCAGGTTATGTGTGAGTCTTGGGGAGTTTAATTTTTCCTGTAAGTCTATTCATAGCCAGCAGGACCTCTAGAGAGCTTAGTGATGAGTGAAGAGCAGGGTCTGGCCCTAATGGCATGGGGAACCGTGGTGGCCTTGGGGGCTGAGGTGACTTGCACCTTTGAAGGGAAAGGCATTTCATGCCTGTCCCTGAGACCCCTTTGCCGTGATGCTCCTCTCGTGGTGGGTGCCCACAGCGTAAGTGGAGGTTTCTCCCCATGGATGTGAGTGAGCAGACGTGGCGGGCCCCATGCCCAGGACTGCCTTGCTGTATGGATCCGTATCAGTGTGAGATGGGCAGTTCCTGTCTGGCTGATGACAACTGTTAAATGAGAAATTTATTTAAATACACAGATATGTATATTAAAAAATTAAAATCCTATTAAAGCCACAACACGCAGCAGTTGGAGGCAGTGTGTGCTTTGTGCTGGGCTGTGCGGGGTGAAAGGCAGCCAGGCAACAGGCAGGACACGCTTCAAGGTCCCCACAGCAGTGAGGGACCAGCCCCACTCCTGGTCACCCTCAGGGTGAGCAGCAGCCTCCTGTCCCAGGCTCACAGTGTGGAGCATCTCCAGCCCCCCTCAGGGACCTACCGTGGGTGAGTCTGTTTTGATGTCTGGGTAAATTCCTGGGTGCTCCTGGTCCTTTACCGGAGAGTCACTGTGACACATGCACACAGGACAAAGAGCCAGGATGGGCAGGGCTCATGGGAAAGTCACTTTTAATGGTTTATTGCCAATGTTACAAAGGTTGACACATGGTCAGACAGGCGGGAACCACACCAGAGTTGTAAAAACACCAACAAGTCTAGGGTTTTAGTTTATTTTTAAAAAAAATAAAATAAAATCCAACCGTTTGCCTTGGCCAAGCTGACTGCATGTCCTGGGGATGCCTGGAGCCTGAGCCACAGTTGCCACAGCCCCTGGGAGAGCCAGGCTTCGGGTTGGCAGTGAGATGGGCTGGAGGGTCCCAGGGCAATCCCCACACCAGCATGGGTAGTTCTCCCGAATCTGCAGGGCCCAGCTGTCCTGTGTGGCACCAGCCTTGCTCTGCTGCTCTCCCCACTTAGCCTTGTCAGCAACAGCGGCAGCAAAAAATGTGGCAAACACCCGACTCCATCCATGCTGAGCACCAGCTCCTGCTGGCACGGTGTTCTGGGGAGCTGCCCTGCTCCGGGGGACCTGCTGGCACCCCATTGTCTCCAACCCTGCTTTGAACCCCTTAAGATGCTGGTAATTCCTGGAGCAACAGCACCATTTCCCTGGGGTGAGCTCAGGACCAGCCCCGTACATGTTGTCCCTGCCCCAGTGCCCTCTGCCCTGTCGCTCCCTGGGGCTGTGGGAGCCCACCTGGCCAGGGTGTGGCAGAAAAGACCAAAAACAAAGTTTGTGCTTTGTATACAAGACCCTGCCTACACCGAGGGGCTGGGGAGGAGGTGGCTGCACTTGCCCCATGGCTGAGGCTGCTCAGACCCCTCAGCCCCTCACCACCCCAGCAAGCTACAGACATGCACACACACACACGCATGGGAAGGGGGTCCCCAGGGGGCCAGGGGGCTAGAGAAGGAAGGGAAAGTGTCTGTCTCCCCAAAACCATGTCAGCACTGAGCCAAGAAAAGTGCATTACTGCCCGGCAGCAGTGGGGAGCACAGAGGTGCCAAGTGTCCCCTGCCCCGTGCCCAGGTGCAGCTCCCCAGACACAGCACCAAGCGCCCCGGGTGCCCTGCCAGCAGCTGGCTGACTCTTAAAACTAAATTTTTGCTTTCTATAAACCAGCCCCCTCCCTGTGGCACCGCTGACCTGAGATCTTGTGATGGAGGGATGTGGCTCAAGTGGGTGCTGTGAGCTGCCAGCGATGGGGATGGGTGTCAGCCACCCAGACCCCGCACAGTGATATGCCACCCCACACCACCCTGTTTTGTTCCTCCTTTGTGGGAGCATGTCCCGCTGCTGCTGTCCCACTGTGGACCGAGTGGGGTGCCCATCTTGCCAGAGTGGAGTTCAGGAGGATGAGCTGAGCCACCCAGCCTCTCCCCACCCCCTCCTGCTCTCAACACCTGCTTCAGCCCAGTAGAGCTGGAGGGCTGGGATGTAGGACTGGTTCCTCTGTTCCCCATGGGCTCAGGAGCAAGGAATGGAACATGGGGCTCGGTGCTGCCCCTGGAGCTGGGGGACAGTCAGGGAGGGCTCCACTTCCCCTGTCCCCCTCAACAGACACTTACAAACACACACAGAGAAAGGAAACCGTAACCTTATAAAAGACACTGAACTCAAACGCCTGCATGTTTGGGGGCAACCCCGTCCCCGCTGCCGCCTCGGCTCCCCACACGCCCCTTGAGCGGCTGGGCAGGCTTGCTCCATGGGGCTGAGTGGCTGGCGGCCCCCCAGGGCGCCTAGGAGCCGATGATCTGGCCAGACCATGTCTCGTGCTTCGTGTGAGGCGCCAGGTTGGTGAGGACCACCTCCACTGCCTGGAACTTCTGGTTCTTGGGAGGGATGGGGCAGACCTTGTACGTCACCTCGTCCCCCTCCACTGGGACGTACTCTCCCTCGATGCTGCAGGAGAGGAAAGGAGAGGTGGTGGTGGTGGTGCCACAGCCAGGAGATGGACCCCTGCCCCAGACCACCCAGAACAAAGGAAGGCACTTGACCAGTTGTGCCTTGGAAAAGAAAACCCACAGGTGATGGAGGACAAGCAGAGACCCACGTCCACCCCATGGAGACATCCACACCCCAGCCCACAAGTCTCCAGCCCCATGCTGACGGCATGGCTCCCCTGGGATCTTCCAGCACAGCACAGCCCTGGGACTTACTCAGACACATGCACAAAAATGTCCTCAGTGCCATTCTCTGGGGTGATAAACCCGTGGCCCTGGGAGCGAGAGAACTGCTTGCAGACGCCCTTGAAGATGGGGCCAGCGGAGGCACGTGCTGTCCTACAGGAGGAAAGGGAAGATTTTTCACTGGTGGCACTTGCCCAGGAGGTGGAACAGGGAGAGATTTTTGCCATGAGCACAATGGTTCTGGGCAGTGCACTTGGTACCCACCCACAGCACTCTGGGCAAGTGTGTGTGGTGATGCTGGGCACCGCGTTGGCAAAGTGCACCAGGTGTAAAGGGCTCTGCAGGCACCACAGGTGACCACGGCTCAGTCGGACAGTCCCAAACCCGCCAGGTACTTACGCCGAGTAGGTCCTGGTCCTCTTGGTGGGGAGGGGGCTGGGCAGGTCCCGGAGAAGGAGGTTGCCCCGCTCCCAGATGCGGCTGCCCTCCCGCTGGAAGGGGAAGGTGGGCCACACTGGTGACTTGGGGGAGTGTAGGGGTGGCACTGCCGGCGGGGCGCTGGGGTCCGATGACATGGTGGGGTCGGTGGGCTCCTCCGTTTTGGGATCGGGCAGGTGGGCAGCAGGAGAAAGGATGCCCAGGTGTGTGGGCCTACTGCTGGTGACCTGGGGAGCAAAAGGGACAGGGAGTTAAAGGGCCTTCTGTGAGGCTTTTGGCACAATTTGCTGTCAGAAATTGTCCCTTGGCTCCCAGCCATTTGTGGGAGCAGGGAGCATGCTGCCAGCCTTCAGCATTGGACACCAACCTCCAGCACCGGGAATTGCCCCAGGAAGCCTGTCCCAGCTTGGAGTCACCTGGTATGTTCCAGAAAATCAATGCCAAGGGAAGAACCTGGCTTGTTCAACCTTTCAATTGCCAGGATAACCCCACATGTTTGAGACAAAGTCACTAAAAAGCACAGCCTGGGAAATGAAGCAGGGGAGCATGGGCTGCCACAGGCCGGAACCTCTTTGGGAAGGATGCCCATGCAGTGCCAGCATGCCTGAGCCTCCAGTCCCAGGCTCTGAGAACTTCCCCCATCCTGAGATTTCTGATAAAAAAGTGAAGAAAAAAGGCTGAGACAACAGGTCAGTACATCAAGGTCAGGGGTCTGAGATCTTCTCAGCACAGAAGGTTGCTTCAGCCCCATAGGATTTAGGACACAACCCCAGCCCCAGCCAGCACTCAGGCACATTCCTACAGGAAGGAGCACCAGAAGAATGTGGTGAGGCCAGCAGCCCTCATACCCCTCAGGCACCTCAGCTGAGCCACTATACAAGCACAACCTCTTGCTGCTGCCATCATCAGGCTCCAGTTTCTGAAGGCATCATGCCATTTGCAAGGAGTTAAAGCCCTAAAGGGCGGAAACCCTGCCAACAGAGCAATCACAACTGTGGACACTCTCGTCCTTGCTGAAGCACCCCAGCACGAAATTGGAGGGATTGTGCAATTTTAAGCCTCCCAGATGCTCTGATGTGTGATGAGCACTGCAGCTGCTTGCTCAGAAAGGCCTTGCTCTGTTGATTTTTATTCCAATCCGTTGCTGCATCTGATATTGGCGCCTCTGTCCCAGGGTGCCCCATGCCAGGGGTTGCTTGAGGGCACCTCTCCCTGGGTGCACTGGGTGCTCACCCTCCTCAGGCTCAGGAGTTTTTATCACCTGGTGTTGAGGAGCCCGATATCCCCTGGAGTTACCATCCCCTTCCCCAGCACCCCCATCCACCCTTTCCCACCCCACTGGGGCATGCAGCATCTTTTGGGACAACACCTGCACACACCAAGAAACACAGAGACTATTTAATTTATTTTCTGACTCACTATGGCCTTTTGAGACACAAAGGCCCTGGGGGGATGCGCAAAAGGGGGTCACCTCCACTCTGAAATTAGCAGGCACCAAGGACAGGGGAAAAGATTTCTAGAGCAGCTGAAGTTTCAAGGAGGGACCAGGCAATTCCTGTTCCACTCACCCACCTCCACTTTCTTCCTCTGCCAGGGGATGTGCCTGCCACTGGGCCCCCATGGCTGCCAGACCAGCTTGGATTCTGCCATGGGATGCTGCCCATATGGGCCTCAGCCAGCTTCCTAACAGCTCCCCCCTCTCAGCCCTGCAGAGCTTCACCCCAGGCAGTAAAAGCCACACTAGAGTCCAGCTTCAAGGTAGAAGCCACCACGTTCCTCCTGCTCTCTGAGTCAACTTCCAGTTGTGGCTGAAAACCCTCCAAACCATCTTTCCCTTTCCTGGCTCCCCAGGACCAAACCCTTCCTGTGCTTCAGTGGCTCCTCTCCCCCATGCAGCAAATGGAACATGCACATCTGCCTTTGCTCCACATCCCACCCCACACAGGGGCTGCTCAGCTCCTGGCCTGACAGGCTCAGCATTTCCTGCTTCCATGCCCAGGTTCATTATCTATTTCCCCCAAACCCTGGCTCAACATCTCCTTCTCCCATTCCCAGGCTCAAGCTCACCATCTCCTTCCTCCATGCCTAAGGAGCTCAGAGAGGCTCAGAGAGCACCCAAGTGAGACACCCCAAAGCCAGACCAGACACCAAACTGCTTCACAGCTCCCATCTGTGCCCCCATTTGACCACCCTGCCTGTGCTGGCGAGCAGCCTGGCCACTCTAAGACAGCAAAATGTGATGTGTTCCTCATGCATTGCTGCAGGGTTTGTCACCTTCCCAGGAGGTGCCAGGATTGGAGGAGTGGGATGATTTGGGGGAAATGGCCCTCAGTTCTCTGTCACATCATGAAGCTGTCACTATGAAAATGGCCTTGCTGTGGTGTGGTGAGCCTCCTCTGTGCGGCTTTCTCTGACAGAGGAGGCCTTTCCGTTCCCCCACCAATTCAGGGACAATGGAGGGTATTTAACCTGAATAAGGATGCTTGGAGCAAACTATTAGTATGCTGAGGGAGTCCGTTGGCATCCACAAAGCGCTGGAAAAATTGAAGTTTCCCAGAGGCAAAATTAAAATAAGAGGCAAGGGGGTGTGCAGGAGGGGGAGCTTGCAGGGACAAAAAGGTGTGGGCTGGTGAAGTGGCAACCAAGAATGGGTTTGCCACAGGTTCACCTGTAGGACCAGTGCAGGTTCAGGTGCCCTGGAAGGCTCCCTGTTTTGGGGGACGAGTGATGGTGAAGAACGGGAGCATGCTGGGCACTGCTGAGGAGGCAGACTCTGCTCATGAGAGCTGAGGGCAGCAGCAGAGGGTGCCCTTCTGGGCTGCTGTTTGCCCCCAGGAGCTGAGCTTGCTCCTTGAGGGAGAACAAGTGAGATGCAATCCCCCACAGGCACTCTGAGGGCTCTCTGGATGGCCCATGGGGTAGGGTGTAGGGTGGCAGTTCACTGGCATAAACACAGGGACAGGGCACAGCAAGGCTGTGGGATCCCCATCCTTGGTGGATGCACTGCCTGGACATGTCACAGAGCTACCTGCTCTTTCTCCTTGGAGCAGGGGCTGGAGCAGAGATCCCTGTCCTGGGGCCATGCCGAGGCTCCCTCACTCAGCCAGCAGCACTCTACCCCTCTTCAGCACTTGGACTGAGCATCCCAGATTTTTGGTCAGCTTTGGGGTGCCCAACAGCTGAATTCCTGGCTTTGGTGGTGCTGGTGAAGCTGAGGCTGAATAGGAGCTTTGGCACATGGGGACTCCAGGGCCATATCCTATCTCCCATTTCATTTAAATCCCTGCTGCAAACAAAGGGACCGAGGAAATCAAACTCAGGGCGAAAGTAGGCTGAGAGAAGAGTGGGGACAGAAGCATATCCTCGCCTCCTCCCCTCCCAGCCCAGACACAGATCAGGGAAAACCTCTACTGTCCTCCTTCCCTCCCTGCTCTCCACCTCACCATCCTCTCCCCAGCCATTTCTCCACAATGCAGCCCCAGCAGGGAACAAGGAGGGAGCACCTCAGCACAAGAGGCATTTTCACCCTCCCCTCAATCTCCTGTGGTCAGAGTAACCTCTGCTGGGGATGAGGGCATCTGTCCCCACTTCAGGTCTCTCTCGCCTAGCTGACACCACCCCACGACACTATGTCCACCCCACGCACGTATACAGTGCAGGGACCAAATCCGGGTCACTTGAGGAATCAAGCGGAGAGACTGCAGCAGCCCGGCTTTGCCGTGGGGCATGGGAAGCCTTTCCAGCGCAACCACCCTCCGCCGCCGGACCTCCACCTGGCTCCTCCCCGCCTCCTCTTGGTGGCTTTGCTCCGAGGGTCTCCCAGGGTGACAGTCCTCCGAGCCAAGGAGGAAAGTGGCCGCAAGCCCAGGGCTCCCTGGAAGGAAGCTCTTTATAAAAAAAGACCTCCTGCCCTGTCCACCTTCTCTCCTCTCCAAAAAAATACATCTCAAAGCCAAACCCCAGAGCCCTCTGGTGACAGGGTCTTCTTTGGCAGCAGAAGCCAGCTTCGCTTTTATATTTTTTGGAGGGCAGGCTCCTGAGCAAGCGGAGCTGACAGTCAGGAGCCCTTGCAGGCGGAGGCAGGAAACCCAGGCCAATTAAGGCAGACAGGCAGTAGACACATCAGCTTTTATCTCGAGATCCAAGTACCCCATTCATCAGCAGGGACTGAAAGGTCTGCGGTTTATCAAATAAAATAACTGTCTGTCTCCCCTTCTTTAAAGCCAAACACATTGACTTGGGTGCTGGCTATGACCTTGTTTAACTAAACAGCCTTTCAAGGCCCCCTAGAAGGGGGGAAAGAGCCTTTTGAAGAGGCAGCAGCCTCTGTCTGCCACTCCCCGTTCATTAGCGGCAGCGAGAAAAAAAAAAAAACAAAACCCTCACGCTCCCCCGCCCGGGCGGGGGAATACATATTTAATTAGCTTAATCGCCCTCGGTGAGTCGGCCCTCCCGTGCGGCGTTTCTTTGTGCGCCTTCCCATCCGCTGGAACCCGCGGGATGCCCAGGATGCATTGGCGGATGGGTGGCCGCTTTGCTGGCGGCCGTCACGCTCCGGCTCTGGACGTGACCCTTGGGCCGGCCAGACCATCGCCTTTATGGGCAGTTCCCTTTCACGCCGCCGCTTCTCTTTGTAAATCTTTGTAAATCCCAGCTCGGATGCTGCCTGCCGCCACACTCGGCTCTCCCGAGTACCGCTGCTCCCCCCGCCCCAGCCAAAGAGCTGGAGGTTATTTTCTCTCTGCTGCCTTTTGCACCAGTCTCCAGCACGGGCACTTCCATGCCACTCTCCATCACGTTTTCTCCGTCCCTTGCCGGGGCCGGTGGCCCCAGTTCAGGAGTCAGGTTTACTACCCCTCTAAATCCGCCCCAGTAGAAAAAGAGGTCTCTGTATGTCAAAAAGACGCGCCACCTCCACAGCCAGCTGCCAGCAGCCATCTCCTCGCCCCGTGGAGCACAGAAAGCAATGCTCTGGCCCGCTGCCATTCTCGGGGAGGCTGATGCCCCCCCAGACCTAGCTTGTCTAGACACAGGCTGAAACAGAGAAGAGCTACACCCCTCCAGACGCATGAGCATGTCCCCAGAGCTCAATGCAAAAACAAAAATCCCATTTTTCGGCTGCTGGGCATATTCACCTGCCGAGGGACCTAACAACAACGCAGTGGCCAGCAGAGATCCCAGGGGGGCTGCCATGAAGGGCAGGAACCAGCTGGGGAACCACGATGGCTCCAGGCAGGGTTAACCCCGAGCAGGGCCACCGCAGTGCTGGCTGGGCTATGTTTCTCCATCCCTCCTTCCTCGGAGAAGGCTCACAGCCTTGGTGTCTGGGAGATTTTTATAAATGCTGTCTCTGTCCGATGCTAATGAAAGCCTCTCAGCTCTCCCCTCTCCCGTTTTTGGTTATCAGCTCATGTTAAGAGTTAAATACCAAACAAAGCAATTTTCTCACCTACCCTGCCTATTACAAATCCCTTCGATGAGACAAATTACTATAGGAAAAATAAAACTAGGCGGTTTTTGGGCAATGCACACTGACAGCATCCCCTCCCCAGCTAAACCAATCACACTCCCAACTCCAGAGATGTTTGCTGAGATAGTCTCGCCTACGATACAGCCTGCTTAGCGCTAAAATATGAATGTCACCTTTATGGATTGATTATAAAAAGCTCCCTTAGTCAGTGCTGGGCTGCCCAGTTCTCAGGGAGGCCATGAGGCAGAGCAAGCAGGCTGACAGATGCAAAGGAGAAGCAAAGGGAGAAACCATCATGGAGGCTTGATTTACCTTTTAAGCATGTATGGATGATCGTCATTCCCAAATACCAAGTTTGTGAGATTTGTTAGCTTTCTTGTGAAGGTTTTTATTTTTTTAATTAGCATAGCATATGTTCAAAGACCTGGCATAAACATCGTCCGTGTCCTTCTTTCCTCCTTTGTGGATCTAACTTGCCATCGGCAGGAATAGTGCAGCCTGTCCAAAGAAATCCCAATTCCAGCTCCCATCACTATCAGCCTACTTTAATAAGTCAGATTTTTCACAAATTGCCTCCCGCTCACCCGGCAATCAGAGAGCTGGATCCCAGCTGAGCTCAGCCCTCCGTGGCAAAGCCCTGGATTATTTGCCCCCAAGCCAAAGCAGACGTGCGGCATTGCCGCCGCCACCCCCAGGGGAGTTATTGTTCCTGAGCCTGGTGGGGAATAACCAAACCGGAGGAGGGAAGTCACGCTTCATCCTCGCACCTCCCCACCGTCAGGAGGAATAAGCAGATTTCAAAGAGAAAGGTGGTCCGTCAAGTTGAACCTCCAGCTACAATAGCCCGGGCGCGCTGCATGGCCATTGTGCCTGCCCTTACTCACCTCCTTAGCAGCGACGGGCTCCCTGGAGCTGCGCTCTGCAGAGCATCGGTGCTCGGAGGGGCCGGACGCTCCTCCGCTACCTTGCGAGGAGCAGCGGTCTCGCCTGCAGCCCGGCTCCGGGAGGCTTTCTCGGCTGGCTGCCTGCCGGCTGATGGATCTGCGGTATCTGATGTGTGGATGATGTGCGCCTCGAACACACACGCATCCGCACGCCTTCCCCTGACGTCAGGGCCGGGCCAGGGGGAGCGGGCAGGTGGGAGGGATCAGCCTGGTCATTTCTGAGCTAGCTAGGCTTAAAGGAGAAAGTCTGTATGGGGGGCCGGAGGTGACGAGGGTCGGCCCCGGGGGACTGCATAGCTCCGGTTGCGCAAAGTGACGCACATCGGTGGCACAGCCGGACACAGCGGGGCAGCCCCACCGGCTGTAGGGACAGCAGGATGGGGCATGCACTGCAGGCAGGGATGCAGTCAGGGTCCCTCACAATGGGTGAAACCTCTCCCCTGTCACCCCAAGTCTCACCGGTGCCCTGCAGCCGCTCTTCCCGCCAGCCCAAGCACCCCTGGGTACCAGAGTCGCCCCCGGTGCAGTAGGAGAGAACAGGAGGCACATGCGGCAAACCCATCCTACTGCCCCACTCCCTCCGGGCTCACAGCCAGCCATCGCAAACCCAGGCGCTTTCTAAGGATCCCATTTCTATCAGCGCACAGTGCCCAAAGAGCTTTCTGTTTTCCCCCGTGCTTGTGTGACCGTGCTCAGGGGAGGCACCTCCGCGGGCAGAGGCCATGCCATAAATTGGCCTGAGACTTTCTCTAGTCGGGGTGTCGGGCAGTGGGAAGAGGGCAAAATCGTTTGCTGATTCCATTGGGGATTAGGGTGAGGAGTAATGGGGTTTAAATTACAAAGAGCAAGATTGATGTTAGACATTAAGAAACACTTTCTAACAGAACAGACAGTTAATTACTCAAGTAGATTGCCTGGCCAAGCACCAGGGTCTCCATCACTGGAGGCTGGTAAGAATAGGCTGGGTAGGCATAACCTGGGGGGGATTTAGGTAATATCACCCTCATTTTGAAGCAGAAAGGTAGTCGACATCAGCACTTTACCAAGCAAGTGCCTGTGATCCTGGGATAAAATTTAAAACAACCCTCAATAACTGTGGCATCTATCAGTGATGCAGGGAGCTGTTATGGGCATCCTGTGACATGGGGTGGTCATGGGTTGCTTTTGTATCCTAAACTCTTTCCGTGATACATCCTAAGTAGCTGAACATGGTGATGCCAACTAGACCTATTCCACAAACAACACTCGAGGCTGCAGAGTGGCACATAAGTTGTGTGGGAACCACAAGGCATGGCACAGTCAGGAGACAGGGTCACAACTGCTCCACTTGGCTGTATCCACGCGTCCATGGATACATGCATGAATGCATGCATGCATGCATCCATCCATCCATCCATCCATGTACTGGGTGTTGATATAGGGCTGTCCCAAGGGCTTTGACAGGGGGATGAGATCACAAAGCACTTGTCTCTCTCCTGTCAATGAATTATAATGCAGAAAAAAGCTCCATAAGCATAACAGCCCATGGCAAGGCCACCAAGAAGCACTGAAACTCCAGGTGCCAGTGGGTTCTGCCATTGCCCATCACGCTCTGTTTGTGGCTTTTCAAGTAGTTTTCCATGACAGAACACAAGCCCCATTCATGCCCTACAGAGACAAAAATCTTATTTCTCCAGTCTACTTTTCAGAACTTTGCAAAAGAAGGGGAGCTAGCTCTCCCAGCTCTCAGTCTCCACCCTGAGTTTCTCCTGAGATGGCTTCTCCCTTCTTGGGGGACAACTTTGGCTCTCCCACATAAAGGCTCTTGATGGAAAAGGCACGGGAAACTTGAAGTACGTTTGGCTGTAAGGTGACTCTGGGCATGTGCTGCAGTGGAGGAGGAACAGAGTCTAAAGCAGACAAAAATGATAAAAGAAGAGGGAAGCTTTGATCAAACAGAGAGTGGGAGTGGGGGTGCCAGAGATGCCTGCAGAGATGGAAGCAAAGGCAGGAGAGCGGAGGACTTTTTATGTGAGAAGATACATAATTCCTTTGGAGTCAATCAAAGGAGGGCCAGAACTGTCAAGATGCAAATTACCACTCATCTCCCCTAGCATCCCTGAGCCAGTTTTCTCCAAGAGCCATGGGCATGTGGGGACAGAAGAGATCTTAAACCAAGTAATTTGGGGGCTCCTTTCATTTTCCTCAAAGATTCCAATTCTTCAGGTAACTTCAAATATTATTTTTCAGTTTTCCTGTACAATCAAGAGAATGAGAAATGTCTGGTATTTCCTCTGAGGGACAGAAAAGCTCCTCTGCATCTCCTGGACTCCAGCAGCTAAAATTTCAAAGAAACCCCAACAACCCAGCAACAGAGAACCATGCTCTGAAATACTGGAAAAGCCCCAATACTTATGAGAGAGACTCTAGAGACTTTATGGCTATGTGTAAAAAGGCACTATGTGTACAGGCACTGTGGCTTTCTGGATATTCACCAAGTCAGTACTACCAGGAGAAAAGGAAACAACTCAGCAAAACAAAACTGTTCACATCATCTCCAACAGCAAGGAACTTCAGGAGCAGCAACAAATAGTGTAACTCTGAGCACTACCATTAGCTGAGGCAACACTCATATTTTACAGATCATAATTTTGTTTATATTTTTACATTGAAGGCGGCACTTATAAAATATGGAATTTCTCCAAGGAGAAAACCTAGGTGGGAACAGAGCAACATCTGTCATGCATAGACAGCCCAGGCATGCACCACTTGGGATTGGGGAGGAGCTACCTGAAGAAAGTAAGACTGGAAATAATTTCTCACAGCCTGGGATCTTACTGGTGGAGGCTGAGACACTGACATCCAGACTCAGCTCTGGAGTGATTGGTACCAGAGGCAGTGAAGCTCATCTGACACTGCCATCGCCAGCTTTCTCTGCACACATTTCAATTCAGTTTCCCCAGTGTGAAATCAAAGTACCTGCAAGTTTCTCCAAAACACACAGCTGCACAGAGAAGAGGAATCTTACTATCCTTACTGAGGAGCGGCCTTCAGTATTCAATCCTTCTTGGCAATCACAGAGCTGGTACAGGAGAGTGAGATTCTGCACATCTTGCTTGGTGTCTGCACTTTACAGCACACAAAATACCTCACTCATAGGACCCCAGACAGCATGAAGTGAGGCCTTGCAGACCTGCTGTTCACACAGCTGTTTTTTGGGGCCTGAAGGGAGGTGTCTCTGCTTCGTACTGGGCACCCAAAAGCCCTGGATGGGGCACTGTTATTGGAAGCATGGAAAATATTAGCTCAAGAACAGGCTAGAAACAGAAGCATGATATGACTCTGTCCAAATCCACTTCTCTCCATCTCCCATGTTCTCCCAGGTATTTGAGTCTACTATTCCCTGAGCACATGCCCTTAATCCTACAGTTCTTAGACACAAGCATCCAGAGTGATCACCAAAACCAACAGTGCCTAAGTTCTCTTTCCTTGTGTGACACCAAAGCTATTTCTTCCCCTGCCATCAGGACAGAGTTGAGAACAATTTGCTCTTCTGAAAAAGTAGCTACAGACACCTGCAAAAGCTGCACTAGGTAAAGGTCAAACCTTGCACTGCCAGACCTGCATGAGGCCAGGACAGAACAGCAAGGGATGCAGCATGTGTGCCAGCAAAACTGTGCTGTGCCGAGATTAGCGCAGCCGTGACTGGAGTGCAGGAGAAGGGAGCCTTTGTAAGGCTCCCTGAAGTAGGACAAGAGCAAGAAACGCTGGGGATTTGGGTTGAGGTGTTCTGAGAGAGCGGCGTCTGCTGTGCTGGCAGCAGAGCTCCTTGCTGAGACAGTAGATGCTGCTCCAAGAAAAATGCTGCTCTTCCCAGATGACAGGGGAAATCTTGTTTCTGGGCCCCCTATTTAACACAAACATGGACAGACCAGCCACGTTTATTTAAAAAAAAAAAAAACAACTCCACAACCCAATAGACCCTGATGAAACAGAGTAATTGAGAAGAGATCAACACCTATTTGTCCAAGACAGGTATCTTCCTAATGAGGCCTAACCAGGGCATTTCCAACCTTGTTTCCCCTTCCCTTTCCCAGAGAGCTCAACATTTAATGATTTCTTACCTAAACTGCTCGTTACTGTCCCACCAGGCACTGCTGGGGATCGTGGGGGATGACACACTTAGCCTTCACATCAAAGCCATGATGCTGACAGTGCAGTTTTCACTGTCAGCCAGGGATGTTTGGTTTTCCTGGCAGATCTTTTTTTAAACACACTTCAAAGAACCTCCTTTCATTTTTCTTGACAAACCTCAGACGTTAGTACACCCCCTTGTTTTCTGCCATCCCTCATGCTGCTTCTCCCTCACACCGATTCCCTCACTGCAGAACGCACCGAGGCCTGAAAAATTATGTGATGGGGGTTGGTTTCTTTTTGGCAATTAACATTCACAAATTATTTCAGCTCAGTATGGTGGCAGTTTGTCCCTGAAAAGAACCTTGACCTAAGCATTGGGCAGACAAGGCTGTGAGGAACTTCCAGGTGCAAAGAAGATTATAAACCCACCGGGGTTTGCTGGAGACGTGGACAAACACCTGAAGCAATGGCTATCAGAGAGGCAGAGACTTTCACCTCTGGGCTCCTGAGCGCAAGAGAGACATGGAGCTCCTCAGAGGGCAACAAGGATAATCGGGGGACTGGAGCTCCTCTCTTACAAGGAAAGGCTGAGGGAGTTGGGCTTGTTCAGGCTTGGGAAGACTCAGAGGGGACCTCATCAGTGTGTATCAGGACATGAAGGGTTTCTGAAGGATGCAGCCAGGCTCTTCTCAGTGGTGCCAAGAAATAGGACAACAGGCAATGGCAACTGATGCACAGGAAGTTCCGCCTGACCGTGAAGAACTGTTTTACTGTGCAGGTGAACAGCCACTGAACAGATTGCCCGGAGAGGGTGCAGAGTCCCCCTCACCGGAGAGGGAAGGCAAGAACCCTCTGGATGCAATTCCTGTGCCACGTGCCGCGATACCAAAACGGCTGGAAAATAAACTTTCTAACACGATCTGAAGCACTAGAAAGCAAGCGTTCTTTATATATGTAGAACACTAGAAGACTATCTCTGAAAATTTCTATTTTCTATGTTATTTATCAACCCTGCTTGAGCATGGAGGT